GACGGGCACTCTCTTGTCTCCATCAGGGGCCATATGGTCTCCCATCTTTGCTCTCATTTTCTCTCTCCCTCTCTTTCTTGTCAGCTTTATTCTCCTGGGCTTCTCCACATGTAGGGAACTTGGCCTTCTGCAACTATGGGTCCCACTCAATCAGGGAGCAAAAGGATTTTCTTGGTGCACTCCACATGGAAAATTCCAGGGAAGGGCTCTTACTGTCTGGGTTTGGGTCACAAGACAGCCCCTAGATGGGTCACTGGCCAGGGAATAGCATATTCTGGCAAGGCCTGGGACTTGCGCTCTCCCCTGTAACCACGTCACCGACTAGTGCCCTGACGAACTCAATGGTGGGTTTGGAAGCATTTAACTGTTGTTATGTTAAGGAGACAACCAGTAGCCATCCTGAAGCTAACCAAGCCTCCCTACAAGAGCTGCGCCCATGACCTTGCCTTATTTTTAATGTGAAAAATAAGGTAACAACCAGGGTCAGGTTGCTGTGATTAACATCATATCAAAAACACAAGGTTGTGTGCGGGGCCAGCCCAGTGGCATAGTGGTTAAGTTCACACATTCCACTTCAGTGGCCCGGGGTACCCCAGTTGAGATCCTGGGTGCAGACCTACTCACCGCTCATCAAGCCACGCTGAGGTGGCATCCCACATAGAAGAACTAGAAGGACCTACAACTAGGATATACAACTATGTACTGGGGCTTTGGGGAGAAAAAAGAAAAAGAGGAAGATTGGGAACAGATGTTAGCTCAGGGCCAATCTTCCACAAAAAAAAAAAAAAAAAACACACAAGGTTGTGATACTGAACCAAGTGGGCTCGCCTCCTGGTGAGTTAAATAAGACTCTACACCATTGGAATTTGTGTCACAAAGTAAAATGTATTTGGAACAAATAGGAGGCCATGAGGAATCATTTCCAAAGCATCCCTGAACAAAGGGAAGCAGGAACTTTTATATCGAATGGGGAATGAATATTCAAAAGGGAGAGGCCAGTGTACTGCAGGTTATGGTAAAGAAGCTTAATCTCCTCTTGAAGAGATCTTCACATTAAAAATAAGGCAAGGTCAAGGGTGTAGCTCTTGTAGGGAGGTTGGTTAGCTTCAGGGTAGTTGCTGGTTGTGTCTCCTTGACATAAAAAAACAACTTGGATAAAGAGTTAAAGGCTTCCACACCCACCCTTGAGCTCCTCGGGGCACTACTCAGTGACAATTGGAGCAGAAAAGTAGTTGTCAGAAAAACAAGCACTACTAGCTATCTTCCTTTTGTCTTGCTTTCCATTCCCTGACAACACACCGGGGCCCAAATTAAATCTTCCAACACTTGCTCCCTCCCCATCGCCTGTGGAACTAAGTACTCACATCAGCATTAGAGGCCCTCCACCAATTGATGCCTTCATTCTAGCTTTGCCTCTAGCCAAACGCGTTGTTCCTCAAATACAGCCTCTCTCTCCCTCATATCTTTCAGAACTGCCAAGTCCTAAGAAAAGGATTTTCAGATCCGTATCAAATGAGTATTTCCATTTTGAAGTCTCAAATTTCTTTTTCCTAATTCTTTTACAGATCATGTTTCTCTCTGCCTTGCACTACAATTATTTGTGTGTGGTCTACTCTCCACTTGAGAGCAGGATCTGTGCCCTACTATCCTTGGCATCTGCCTGGTGTTTTGTACAGCTCCCAGTAGGCATTCAGGAAGTACTATATTCCTTTAACCAAATAGATTTAAGCAATGTTTAAAGGATATCTACAGAAACACACCTACTTTTTCTAGGATTTTTGATTATTCGAGCCTAATTAATACTCCTTCACCTATTGAAAAGAGCATAATAAAGATTCATATGAACCCACTATTGAGTGAATACTTTAAATGACTAAGAGCAATCTTTCTAAACACCCGTCTGTGCTTCATAACACTTTGGAATAGACATTCCATTTGGTTTTATATTAAAATTATTATCTGTTCATTAAATCAGATCTTTTAAAGAAGCTACTTAAAAATATCATTTTCCCTAGACACACGTTCAACAAATCTTGGAAAGGGTCCACAAATTTGTATTGTTAGCAACTGTCCCAGATTGGGGGCTGGCAAACTATAGCCATTGGTCAAATCCAGCCCAAAGTCTGTTTTCATAAATAAAGTTTTATCAGAACACAGCCACAGCCACATCCATTCATTTACGTGTTTTATTTGGCTACTTTCTCCCTATAATGGCAAAGTTGTGTAGTTGTGCCAGAGACCATATGGCTGGTGAATCCTAAAATATTTACTATCTGACCCTTTACAGAAAAGTTTGCCTACCCCTCTCTAGATGACTCTACTGACACAGCTGATCCATGTAACTTTATAGGGTTAATATGAGGATTAAATAAGTTAACATAAAGCCCTTGGAGCTGTGCCTGGAAATATTTACCTGCTCCCTAAATGCTAGCTATTTTTTCCTTTTCATCTGCTAATAGAGTAAATTACATTAATAAATTTCCTAATTTACTATCTTTGTATTCCTATAATAAACCCAACTTGATCATGGTGTATCATGTGATTATATTTGCTAATGTTTAATTTAGGAATTTTAACTTCTCTGTTTATAACTGATATTAATACATGCATTTACAAGTGTGTTTTGTCTTGTTTGGGTTGTGGTATTCTCCTTGTCTGATATGAGTATTAAAATTCAACTATCCTTTCAGAGTGACCTGAGAAACATTTTGCCTTTTTCTAAGCTCTGAAACAGTGTACATAACACAGGAATTTTCTTTTCCTTGGCCATTTGGTAGCTCTCACCCCAAAACCATATGCACTTCATGCCCTTTATAAGGACAGATCTGTGGCCACCTTTCTAATTTCTTCTAATGCAGTGGATGGACTCAGGTTTGCTTCTGCTTCTGAATAGAATTTTGATCACTTATACTTTTCTAGAAAAGCATTATTTCATTCAATTTTCAAATTAATTTGTATGTAGTGGTACATGGTGTTTCCTTATAATTTTTTCATATCTTTTCTGTAGTTATGCCCCAATGCTCATTCCTAGTGACATTTATTATAGCTTTAATTTTTTAGTCAGATATCAATATTTTTTCTTTTGATTGGTCTTTTTATAAAACGTCAACTTTTGATTTTGCTGATCAAATCTCCTTTTTAATTGTTATCTATAAATATGTTAGGAATATGTTTGTAATTAGCATAGAAGTTGATTTTCAAAGCCTTAAGCAAGTGGGAGGTTATTTTTCTCACGTAACAAGCAGTCAAGAGATAGCATCTGCTGGCGTTGGGCCATCTGCTCAGCACTGTCGTGGGGACCCAGGCTCGTTCTCTCTATCTGCTCTGCCGTCCTCCGCACGTAGACTTCTGTCCTCATGCTTGTTGCCTTGTGGTCCCGAGGTGGCTGTTGCTCCAGACCTCGTTCCACAATAAAGAGAGCACAGGGGCGAAGGACAAGGGGAAAGTTTTTCTCATCTTGAGGCCTTGTCTTTTCAGGAGTGAAGACCTTTCCTCGCACCAGCAGATTCCCCATTCTTCAGTGGTCAGCACCAGTGCAGCTGTAAGATAGACCGAAACTGGGAATTTAGCTTTCTAGATTCTACAGCAGACGAAGCAAAGACGGGGAGGGAAGTGGGGCTGAGTGTGGAGTGAGCCGCCTACCAGATGGGCCACGTGGTCATTACTGTCTGTTTTTACCTGTATTACATCCTCCCCTCTAATCTGTTAGGTCTACCCACCACAGGAAAATTAGTCTACTATAGTAATAGTGGATTTGAAAATTTCTCCTTGAATTTCCAACAGTGTTTTGTTTTGCTTTATAACATTTATACATTTCCAAACCTTGTTGTTAGGTGCATATTAATCTAAAATATCTCTATTTGGCCTGCTTAATATTCTTTTCTTTTTCTTTTTTCGGTGAGGAAGATTAACCCTGAGCTAACATCTATTGCCAGTCCTCCTCTTCTTGCTGAGGAAGATTGGACCTGGGCTGACATCATGCCCATCTTCCTCCACTTTATATGTAGGACGCCTGCCATAGCATGGCTTGATAAGCTGCGCGTAAGTCTGTGCCTGTGTTCCGAACCTGTGAACCTCACGCGCCCACAGTGGAGCGCACGCACTTAGCTGCTACGCCACCAGGCCAGGCCCAGCATAATGTTTTTTATCTTACATTTTATTTCCTCTGTAGTGACTATTCCCACACCTGCAAGCTTTTATTGACATTTTCATCATCTACTGTTTTCTATCACTTTCTTTTTAATCTTTCTATGTTATTAGGTAATGTAAATAGCATACAACTGGCTTTACCTCATCTGAGTCTTGTCTTTTTAATAGGGGGATATAATGCATTCAAATGTATTTCATTTTTTTTACAGGTATGGACCTACTCCTGACATCTTATTTAATGTTTTTTATTTACTTTTTTTTCTTATTTTTCTTGCATTTTGTTTGATTACTAGAGTTTTCTTTGACCTAAACTTTTCTAGTCGTTTGGAAGTTATACTAACTTGTATTTTCATCCTACTGGTTATTAAAATTAAATTTTTACTTTAACATTTAAAGGTAGTTTTTTCTTTCCTTCTCTGAACAAAATAAGAATGTTAACATGTTTTTCTACTGTATTCTCAACCTTTCCTGTGGTATACTTATTATATATAAGAATATATATAATTATTATCATCTGTATGACTATCCTGTATACATATAATTATGTGGTTATCATATATATCATGTTATTTAATTATCTAGATTTAACAGAGCATGGAAGGGCCTCAACTATCTGCCCCTGGGCTGGGAGCCAGAACCCGTTGGGCACAGGGAGAAGCTTCCTTTTCCAGGCCTGTAGTTAGAAACCTCACACAGCTGCATCACATTGGAGAGAGTGGGTGATATATTTGGGGGGGCATCTGATCCTGAAGTTCAATTTCTCTTTTGCCCCCTCATACCCCAGAGCCCATCCCGCACCCCCAGATTCAGACTCATTCACCATCTCACACATCAGGCTGGTGCAACGTCAGCTGTGGGACCCCAGGAGCCACAGAGAACCTGACAATGACCTGGCTGAGCAAGGGCCTCCCCAGGGAGCTGGAGCAGAGAGAGACACTGGGGCCGGGCCAGCCCCCAACTCCAGGAATTTAAGCCTGAGCCTGCCCCTGAGCCAGTCGAATGGCCACCTCACCTGTGTGGTCAGCAACCCTGTGGACGAGAAGAACGCAACCTTACACCTGGTGAACATCTGTCCATGGGCGGGTGAGTGTGATCTGCTGGGAAGGGTGATGAAAATGGGCTAGCAGACAATGGAGGATGGACAAGACTGGGTGGACTCAGGGAATATGGTGGGACTGGGGAACATTTTAAGGCAGTTTATGTGGTACAACCAAAAGGTCCCCACCCCAGTGAATGGCCACACCCTCATTATGGTCTTTAAACTTGCAAGTCCAGAAATTGGATGAATATATGGAGACTGCTGCATCACCCAGGACATAAATATGGGACTGGCATGTGGGCATCCACTTTCCCTGCATTGAGGATCCCGGACGGCTGAATTAGTCATCAGAATCCAAGCAGGGGAGGAGAAGGACATGAGGATTAAGGACTGGTGATCCCTTAGCCCTGGAATATTGTGTCCGCCAACTCAGGTCCCCTCTCTGGATGGGCTGGACATGCTTAGCACATTCAGGCTGATAGATGCCTGTTTTTTGCTGCATGCCAGACATGCCCTTTCTGAGGTTACCACCTCTGAATAGGGAAACCACAGTTCAACCCTCCTCTGAGCAGTGAGAATACCTGCGGTCACTACAACCAGTTACCACACTTGCTCCATCAGCCTAAGGGGTCACCCATCATATAAAGTGACTACCCAGTGTAGGTTAGGAGGTGGGAACCCCTACAAAGGAGCCTCATGCCCTGGTTTCATAAAAGATCAAACTCACTACTTTCCCTAACACTACACAACGGGAACAACTGATGGACAAAGGAGGTGTCACGATGAGCTCAGCTGCCCCCTCCCACTCAAGTCCCCTGAGCTCTGCTAGCTCACATGGGGCTCCGTCTGAACAGTCTCTTTCCAGCCATTTCCTCACTCACTCAGCGCCTCAGGATTCAGCTCTCACACTAGGACTGAGTGCCTACTATGTGCTGGGGGATGTCAGTGAGAGATAAGATAAGCCCCTGCCCTCAAGGACCTTACAGTGCAGTGTGACATCACCACATACCTGCTGTGTGACCCTGGACAAGTGACGATTTTTGAAGCCTTTCTGTAAGATGCTTAATAATTCTTTTTACCTCATAGGGCTGTTGTGACAATTAAAAGGGAAATCTATGTAAAGTTATCAACACAGTGTACGGCACATATTATGTCAATAATTATTAGAAAATAGTTCAAAGAAAAAGAGGAGTAAATTTCTAACTATAAAGCCACACGTTAATGCTCAAGTTGTGGCAAATACAAAGGACATGGTTCAAGTACAAAAAAGAAAGAGAGAAACTGAGGAACTGCTGCAGGAGTTGGGAAAGGCATCCCAGAGAAGGGAACACCTGAGTTGGGCCTAGAAGGATGAATAGGAGTTTTCTTGTGGCAGTGTGAGTAAGATACCCCAAACAGAGAGCAGAACATGCCCTGAAGTCTGTTGACCCCAGATTCTTCCATTCCCTCTCCCTCTCGGAGCGTATTTCTCTTCTTGGAGTCTGAGAAGAGAAAAGAGAGGCAGGCTGAGGGAATGATCAGTGGCACATCCAGCTAGTGGGAGCCTCCGAATTTCATGTGCAGAGATGCATCTGAAAGCCTGGCAGAGGAAAAGTCAAAGTGACAGTGGCCAGCGTGCAGGGAGACTAGGAAGGAAGAAACCTGTCAGGGCTGCAGCAAAGATGTACACTTGGGATACAGGTCTTGAGCGAGGGTGGTCCCACCTCCCCCACCTGCCTGCAGAAGGCATGCCTGAGGCAGACCTGACACCAGCATTTGACCCCAGGTTCCTTTCAGAGCAAATGGAAAGGCATCTGTTCCACGGTTCTGCTGGTGAACTTGGGGCCTGGAGTGTGGATCTGGATGAGGAAGAAGATGGAGACTGGGAGAGGCAGGTGCTGGGGAGACCTTGAGGGGAACACTGGGATGGGAGGCCCTGGGGGAGGGGCAATGGATGGAGGAGACTCAAGGGAGCGTGGCAGGGCTGGGCAGGACAATGGGCAGATAGAGGCTCATTGACTTCTCCTGTGAATCATTCCTAGAAGGCCTGGGTAGACAATGCTGAGGGTGGGAGCTGAGTGCATGCCCAGGAAGGAAGGGTGAGTGGTGGCAGGGACAGGGCAGGGGTCCGGGACCTGAGCTTACAGCATGGGGAGCAATAGCTGTCCTCACCCAAGGTCTGATGAGGGGTCACCTCCATTCCACACACTCATTGAGTGTCTGCTGTGTACAGGTGGGTCCACTCTTCTGCCCAAGGTGCCAGGCTCAGCAGCTGTTTCCCAGGCCCTTCCCACAGAGGAATCTACTGACCTGCAGACTGCTGTGTTCGACAGCCATGACCCTCCCTACATGATGATCAGCCTCCTGAGACACCCTATGGTGGGTCTAAGGGAATCAATTCAGGTTGACTGACATGTGATTAGAGGTCATGAGTCCTGGGAAATCCAGGGTACTCTGCACCTCGTCAGGCTCTGGGTCCAGTCCTTGCTTTGGACAATATGGTTGCTGTGCCCGGGCACTCACAGGATGCTGGGAGCTGACGTGCGATGGGAGGAAACCACCGATGTGGAGGATACCTCAATTGTGTGTCCACAGTTTCGTCAGATCCTTGCTGCCATCCAGGGAGGAGGGGTGCAGAGCAACAGAGGCAAGAATGTAAATGGACAGGTGTCTGCTAGACCCTGCCATCTGTATAGGACCCAAAGGAAGTAAATGTAAGGGAGACTAGCAGGGCCTGGAGGCAGGGCAGACCCAAGGACCTGAGAAGTGTCAGGAAATCTTCTCCTCCCCACAGTCCCTCTCCCTCCTACCTGCCTGAGATCCTGCCGTTAATGCTGCCTCTTTGGGTAAAGGCGTTGTTGCCCCACTGATGAGAGGCCCCTGGGAGAGCATCTCATGTGGCCGCTGGCCCTTAGATGGACACTGGTGCTATGGTCACAGATTCTACCAAGGGGGAAGACCTGGAGACAGGACAACTGGAGGAGGAAAGGACACTTAAGGGACTTCCCCAAAAGCAATGGTTCTCAAACCGAGATCACATCAGAAACCCCTGGAGGGCTTAGTAAAATAAAACGAAGGTTGCTGGGCCCACTCCCAGAGTTTCTGATTCAGCGGGTCTGGGGAGACCCAAGCATTTGCTCTTTTCTAACAAGTTCCCAAAGGATGCAGACACTCCTGGTCCCACACTTTGAGAACTACGGGGCTAAAGAGTGAGCAGAGGGAAAGCAAGTAGAGCTGCTGCTTGGACGTCCAGGACTAGACAGTGTCCGAGGCCTCTCCTCAGTCATCCTTTGACTTCTCTAAAGAGGGAGCAACTCTGATCACTGTGCCACTGACCATCAGGATCTTAGAAATCCCTGCTCTGGTCCCAGCAGTTTGTGTTGGGGAAAGTGGGACCCAGAAGGAACACTGGGGCTGGGGCAGAGAACCGTGGCAAGCACAAAGTAGAACAGGGGTGTCCTCAATCCCAGTCCAGTGCTCTGTGCACTGTCCCCAACTGCCTCAGTGCCTGCCACATTGTGACTTCCCATCTCAGCCCCTCTGAGTTATGTCCCCATCTGACCTGGGCCTCGGGGGACTCAGGAAATAGCTCCTTCAGACCCAAACCCCAATACCCCCTACCAGAGACGCGCTGTGGCTTTGGGAAACAGAAACAAATCAGGCCACATCTGACCCAGACACGCAGCTCTGCCCTGAAGCCTCCTGCCACTGTAGTCCCTGCTCTTGGGGTGCTCCCAGTCTGTTGGGGAAAATGAATTCCCTGCCAGGACACGGGAGACAAGCACAGAAGAGAGATGGGATGGAAGGAGCAGAGTCTGGAGAAATGGGTGTGAAACCCAGCTCTGATACTGACTTCTTGATTGATCTTAGAAAAGGTACTTTACTCCCTGGGCCTCAGTTTCTTCTTTTATAGTATGAGGATTATAGTGATAACACCTTACATTTATCTCTTGCTTTGCAGTTTTTAAAGATTTTATTTTTTTTTTTTATTTATTTTTCCCCCCAAAGCCCCAGTAGATAGTTGTGTGTCATAGCTGCACATCCTTCTAGTTGCTGTATGTGGGACGCTGCCTCAGCATGGCCGGAGAAGCAGCGCGTCGGTGCGAGCCCGGGATCCGAACCCGGGTCGCCAGCAGTGGAGCGCGCTCACTTAACCACTAAGCCACGGGGCCGGCCCGCTTTGCAGTTTTTAAAGGCACTTTTGCAATAAGAGCAGTCAAGGTGATTTACAAATTTGTCCAACAAATATTTACTGAGTGTCTGCTGTGTGTGTTCCCAGAATTGTTCTGATCTGGGCTACACAAGTCAACAGAATAACAAAAATCCTTGGCCTCATAGAATATGCTTTCTAGGTTGGGGGAGGGGATAATGACAAATAAAATAAGAAAAATATGAAAGGTTAGATGATGATAGGTGCTAAGCAGAAAACAAAGCAGAGAAGGGGCGTGGAGGGATCAGCTGCGATTTTAACTAAGGCTGTCAGGGAGAACCTCACCAAGAAGAGAGACCCTGAAAGGGATGCAGGAGTGAGCGAAGTAGAGGTCTTGGAGGGTGGGGGCGGAGGAGAGGGGTAGCATCCTGGGTCTAGGACGGAGCAGGTGCAAAGACTCCACAGTGTTCAGGGGAGAGGTCTGCGCCAAAGCTGTATTTTGGGGAGTTGTCAGGGTTTAAAGCCGGAACTACCTGGTTGAGGACAAGAAGCACATGAAGAGATGCAGCTTGAATGACCCCTGCTCCCAATTCTTGGAAAATTGACCAAGACCACTCCTAAACTCTGCTTGAATTCTAGAAAGACTTGGAGAAGGGCAGCTGCCATTCATATAGCCCCGGGCATGCTCCGGCAGTCCACGCTATCTACGAGAAGATCCAGAAATGCCCAGAGCCCCAGGAGGACGCCTACACCACGAAGACACTGGGGCCGTGAGGGGCCTTGGCACGATCTGCCCCAGCCCACCCTTCACCCCAGTGTCCCCAGATATCCCTCCTTAAGGTGGCGCTGGGACTAGACCCCAAGTCTTTCTGACCCATCCCACTGAGACAGCAGAGCAGCATGAACTGCTGCCCTGGGCTCCCCACCAAAGTTTTCTCACTTCACAGATTGTGGGCAGTGACTCTGCTACTTGAATATCCAAGTATGAGAGGTAAACTTTTCAGTGGTCAGCCAGATTTCTGACCTGTGACCCACTTAACCCCATTAGGGAACACCCATGGTTAGGCAGGACCTGCGTAGGGATGGTCAGGGGACAGAGATGCTTTCCAGGATAGGGAGGGTCCTGGTGCCCCTGAGAAGGATGGGCCTTGGGTGGAGCACCTTCAGGATGTCACAGCCCAGCCCACTACCCAAGCATAGAGAAACAGATGGTCTTTGACTATGGACAAAGCAAGAGGCTGGCAGATATAAGATTCAGGGTCAGTTGTGCCTTAGAAGGGAAAGGTGGAAAGAGAGGGAAGCGTTTTTTGAGCTCCATCTCCTATCAGGCTTAATTCTAAGCACAGTAAATGGACTATCTCGAGGTTTCTCAAATTCAAGTAGTTCACAGACCCTTTTATTTTTATTACATAATATATGTAGGCAGTATAAAACTCAAAAGGCATGTCTTGTTGAAATGATAATGTTTCATCATTTTGTTGCTATTGTAAATAGGATCTTGTTCCCATTATATCCTCCAACTAGTTGATTAAAATAATACATACATAACATATATTAGTGAAGCCATGTTACTAAATTTCTTTACTGTTTGGAACAGTTTTTCATTTGATCCCTTTGAATTTCTGGATATATAACCATATTATCAACAAATAATTATAATATTTGCTCCTTTCTTTCCAATTTTTATGCCTCAGTCCTTTCTCTTGTCTAATTGCATTGGCTAATACCTCCAAAACTCATGTTAAATAATAGTGATAATAAAGGATATCCTCGTATTTTTCCTAACTTTAGTATAAATGCTTCTAGTGTTTCTCCGTTAAGCATGATGCTGTTATTTGGTTAAAGCATATATTTTTTATCACGTTAAGAAAGTATGTATTTATTCCTATTTTATCAAGAGTTTTACTGAGAATAAAGTGTTAAATTTTATCATTTCTATTTTCATCTGTGAATATTTCATGTGGTATTTCTTTTTCATCTATTAATAATACATTAACAGATTTCCTAATATTGAACTATTTTTTCATTATTGGAATAAATCCCTGTTGATGTATAATGCGTTTAATATGCTACTGTTTGATAATATTTATATTTGGGATTTTTGCATCATTACTCATAAGTGAAATTCTCCTGTATTTTTTTTTTTTAATGCTTTACTCTGTCAGTTTGGTATTTGTGTTATACTTATTAAAGATCCCTTTTATCCTCAATTTCTTGTAATATTTCAATAAAATTTTGGTTTATAGTCTAAAAAAATATTTCATTTAGAGAAAAAAATTCCAATTGCCCAGTGTTGATTTGAATTATTTTTATTAAAAATTTACCTTGGGGCCGGCCCGGCGGCACAGTGGTTACAGTCACATGTTCCACTTTAGCGGCCCGGGATTCACTGGTTTGGATCCTGGGCCCAGACCTAGTCACCACTCATCAGGCCATGCTGAGGCAGCATCCCACTTAGAGGAGCTACAACTCTACAACTACAACATACAACTATGTATTGAGGCTTTGGGGAGAAAAAAGAAAAAGAGGAAGATTGGCAACAGATGTTAGCACAGGGCAAATCTTCCTCAAAAAAAAAAAAATCTACCTAAGTATGAATAAACATAAAACTATATATAAATGTGCCATGCTTATAGCTTTTATACTATAAACCAAAAAATGTTATAGAGTAAATAAAAACAAAACAGTAAAACAATAACGCAACGGTTATTCAAACTAATATTCAAACTTACAACTTTGGTGTAGTGGGTGTGTTTGTTTTGCTGAAACTAAATCATTAATGTTGGGATTATAGGGAAAAAATGTAAGTTCACATCAGGCTCGATATTTAATTTATTTTTTTTACTTTAATACAAAGAATGCTAGTGCATATACATTTATTGTACAACACTTGATTAACGTCTTTGTTCACCAGTTCAAGATAGTCAACTTCGTTCTTAACCAAAACTCTGCCAGGTGACAATTGATAGATCTGTAAAATTGTTTTCTTCACCTGAAAAAAAACTAACATTACAGTATTAAGGAAATCTTCATTGAACGTATCTATCTACTTACTACTGAAATCCTAGATCAAAAAAATTTTTCATTGGGAATTTGCTACCATGGTGGGTATTTACCACATTATCACTAATGAAGCTTTGTAAGTTGTTACTACAAAGCTAGAATCCCATATCTTAGCTTGCAAGTCAGATATGCCCCTGACAGCTACACAGCAGGAACTTTTGAGCTTGAAGTGCCTGTTTGAGAAGCGCTGAGGGCCAATTCAGTGAATGGTCAAGTCATCAAAATGATCAAGTCTATCCATTAACCATTAACTTCTTTCTTTTAACTATGTATAAATCTTAAAGCAATTCATATTGGATAGAACAATTTAACAGCTTTTGAAGATTCTGTTATTTTCCTTGACAGGTTTTCATTATATCCTCCTAAAAGCCCCTAAAACAATGTTTGATTTTTCTCTACTCAGCTCCTTGCTAGGAGAAAGAAAGAGAAGTCAGTTCATAAGACAGCCTGAATTGGCGATGCCTGCAAGGGGGAGATTGGGGGCCAGAGAGATGAAGAGACTGACAGAGAGAGAGAAGGGGAGACTGAGGGCCAGGGAGTCTGAAGCCAGAACCCTGGAGTCATTGGTCCACAAACATCTCATAGGCCCTGTTATCCCATCTGATTCAAATAGTTATAAACTTTATCCATAATTGATAGAAATAAATATTTTATCAATTTAGCAAATTCAGCAAATTGATCGTTGAGTGATTTGTTCATTTAGAAAAGGAATCTTCTGTAAACTGTTTTTGAGAAAAGTAGTTTTAGATGAACTGACCTTAGGGCAAATTGATGTGAGCATTACTGCTTAAAGGGTAAGAAATTTGGCTCTGTGTCCAAGCTGCCTGCGTTAAGCCCTCACTCCACTTTCTGGTTGTATACTCTTGAGCAGGGACTTGACGTCCCAGTGCCTCAGTCTCCCATCTATAAAAGGGGAGTAATAAAAGACTTCCCTCACAGAGTTGTTGGAAGAGTCAGTGAGTTAACACACTCACAGCACTCAGAGCAGCGCAGGCATCGCCAGCACTCAGTGCATGTTACTACTGTCCTTCTGCCCTGCCCCACCTGATGACCCATCCGCCCACCTGTCTCCTCTACGTGAACCACGCACTGGGTAGTCCCCATCAGGGCCACACTCTGTGTCATCATCTGGTCCTTCTGTGAAGATGCTTTAACACAAAAGCAAGCAGAGGCCTGAAAATGCCTTTGTTATAATGTGGTCACTTACAGTATCGAGAATGTGCACATGTTAATGTTCAGATTCTTATCAAAATGAAAACATTGAATATAAAAATTCTAATGGAACACTTGCAGGCCCCTGAGACTGCCAAGCACACCAAATTGGGAAACACCATTCTAGGAGCAAAAGACCCAGACAGGAAAGGCAGCAGACAAAAGAACAGGAGGGGCGGAGGTTGGGGGAAGCCTATGAAACACAGGGATGTCACACCACATAGCTGGCCCAGGCTGATGGGAGGAGGGGAAAAGGAATGGAATCCCACAGGGCATTCCTCGTGGAACAGGAAGACCCCACTCAGTGGAGACTGTTTCTATGTGGTTTTCACAGAACTGGAGCAGATGGAGCAGCCAGGGTTCTTGACTCCTATTGCCAGTCCATGCTCCTCCTACCCTGCCCAGGCCACTATGAGACCAAACAAAGAATATAAGCCACTATATCTAGTTCTCTGACTCCTGTGCTAAGAGTTCAGTGTCCTCACACAAAGCAAATTCAAAAGGAATCCAAATACATGTTTGTTGAGGCAAACAGCAAAACAAATAGAAAGACCTCAATCAAAGATGAAAAAGGAGAAAAGCAAAAACCAATATGAGACCTACACAAATAATTGGTCCTCCAAAATAAAGGAAAGGAACAACAAAAGACAGATGAAACCAGAGCTGAAAGATGAACTAAGATATCAGAATGTGAGTGGGGGGAGGAGCTAAGAAAATAATGGAGGGGAAAAGCAAATCTTTTGCAGAATTTAAAAATGCAAAGTGATGGGGGCCGGCCCTGTGGTGTAGCCTTTAAGTTCACAGGCTCCGCTTTGGCAGCCCGGGGTTCACGGGTTCAGATCCTGGGCATGGACCTACACACTGTTTATCAAGCCATGCTGTGACAGTGTCCCATATAAGTAAAGGAAGATGGGCACGGATGTTAGCCCAGGGCCAATCTTCCTGAGCAAAAGAAAGAGGAGGATTGGCAACAGATGTTAGCTCATGGCTAATCTTCCTCACCAAAAAGAAAAAAAAAAGCAAAGTGATGAATAAATGACAAGCAATAGGATGGATCAGAGTACATGAGGAAAAGATGTGGTTTAAAATTAATTTGGCCTGACCGTTTTTTTCTAGAAAGGCCTGACATGGCCTCTTGAACATGCTTTGTACATCTTCTTTAACCATTTACAATGTCCCAAAGCCAAGAATGATGCCCTTAAAGATAGGGAGCTGGATACTAATCAACACTACAGGAAATCATGTCAGTGATGTGGAAGACAGGATGAGAAAATAATATAAAAAACAAGAGGGAAGCAATTAGAACCAAGTAGAGCAATGTAGACTGACAATGGAGATCAAATATATAGATGACTAGTGTCCTCCAAGAAGAGATAAAAGGAATGGAGAGGGACAAATAGTGTGATCAACACTATTGATTTCCAACCCCCAGGCCATTACTAACAGAAGACTACATGGTTCAGCTGTCAAAAGCCAGTATCAGGGATAGGGTGGGGAGATTCCCATGATCTCATGGCAAGTCCAGGAGCCAGGCATTTTCTTCTCAGACATCAACAAAGGACAGCTCTTCTAAAACCACAATCAAAACCAAAAAACCCTGAATGCACTGTCTGGAGAGAACTCAGCAGCTTGTGTGGGTATAGGCGCCTCAGGAAAGCCCTCCTCATTTTGACATTTAGGGGTTCCCCAGCATAAAAGCCAGCTCTCTACCCCCACCCTAAGGTGGATCCTGATTGCCCACAGAGCTACTTGGCTCATTTATAAATATAAGAGGAAAACCAAGGACACCAGGAACAGCCACCTGTACCTGGCCCCTGGTTGTGAGGCTGCCCCTGAGCCAGCCAAACATCAGCCTCACCTGTGTGGTCAGCAACCATGTGGACCACAAAACTGCCACCAGTAACATTGGGGAAGTCTATTGGGATAAAGTGCCATCAGGGTAAATGTGCCCAGCTCCTGAGACTCCTTTCCCAAGAGATGGGGGTTGCAGGAATTTGGTGCTCACCATCCCCAGGGAATGCGATATCCAACATCCCCAGCCCTTGGGACAATACCAGAGGAGATGAATCAGAGACAGTAAAGGTTGGCATGTGACCCTGGAAACTGTGGGAGATGGTGGAATCAGGGCTTTTAGGAAGAGCAAAGAACAGGTATGCCAGGCACTGGTGTTTCTCTCTGCTCTGCTCTAAATCCCAATTGAAGGGCCGTTGAATGGACAAGGAGTCATATTGGTAATAAGTGACCTCAAGATGGAAGCTTGAAGATAAAGAAAGGGAGGATTTGACTCAATATTAGAGGAGAGTTTTCTGTAGTTAGAGTCATCCAAAAAAGGAATAGAAGCTTTGGGACACAGTGAGGTCCCTGTCACTGGTGGAATGTAACCACAGGCAAAGTCACCTGGTGGGTTGTTATAAAATGTAGGATGGAATAGGACTCCACAGTGAGTTTGCTTCCAACATGGATATTCTCAGATTCTAGGAAACTCTCTGTGGCAAAATCAAATAGGATTATTCCAAACCCCAGAGTCTCAGTTTCCCTGGAACCATCAGGTGGAATAGAGTGTCTGCACTGAGCCAGCCCACTGCAGAGAGTGTGGCCAGTCCCAGGATCCATCACCCTGAAGCCTCTCACTCTCTGTTCTGTTTCTGACCCAACTGTGACGAGAACGCTATTCTTATCCCCAGTACTGTGGACAAGACTGGCAAAAGGCCTTTGCTTCTCAGGATCCTTGAGAAGCTGGGAGTTCAGCTCACAAACAGGGTTTCCAGAAGAAGAAGGGAAGTGAAAGGTGCCCAAGAAACTGAGACAACTGGACTGGGACCTTATTTCTTTTCTTCTGCTTTGTCAAGTTTTCTAAATCATAAATGGATACTTTCTATACTCTGCCAAGTTGTAAAACATGTTTGTTAGCACAAAAATTTTTTATTTTTTAAGGTTTGCAGGAATCCACCTAAGATAATGTGGTCTTTATGCCCTTAAGGAGAAAATACTTACGTAAGTTTTACAATATTTTCTGTGTTGATTTTTTGAGGTTTATACACACATGTAAATCAATTTTAGCAATTCACACTCTTCTAGAAATTATCCGTTTCATGAAGATTTTTAAATTGAATAGATGTTAATTACGTATTACATTCTCTTAGAGTTTTTCTAGTTGTTGTTGTTGTTTTGCTGCTTTAAATAGGAGAGGATCTTACTGGAAGGCTAAGTTATAAATTAAGTGATGATTCTGGCCCTGAGAGCTATGGAATCTCATTATTCAGTTCACGGCTTCTCTTCTTGGGTCTGTTTGCAAAAGCAGGTTGGTGGTTCAGCTGGTGGAATGTGGTGTATTGAAGGGGTGTCCCCTCCCTCAATTATGACTTGGAAAAAGGAGATGTGTGGGTATTTCTTTATTTATTTGGTTTTTGGAGATCAAATAAAACATCACATACCTGGATCACAGGAGAGGTATAGAGATTCCAGATCAGAGACTAAGGCAGGGCTTAATCTCACAAATGAACATGACCAAAGGAAAATATGTCAATCCAAAGGAGGCTAACATGAAATGGAGCATAAAGAGAGCTGAGGGACAGAGACAAGTGAAGTTCTGTCAGGCTGGCAGGAGAATCCCACACCCCACGCCAATAAATCCAACGTGGAGATGAAGAGCTCAGATGAGAAAGCCATTGGCATCCACACCAGCACCGTCTACTCACCTGCCCTGACTCAGGCTCCCCAAGCAGCCTAGTGACACCTTGTTTCCCGTGTGGCCTGTCTCTGGGAGACGACACACTGGCCAGGCTCATGGGACTATCCATCCCAGTTAGCAAGTGTGCTTCTTACTGTAAATTAATAAAGCAGCATTCTGGTTTTGCCTTTCAGTGTCTTTTGACATTTGGTGGTAAGATTTTGCATCCCCAAGGCAAATCACACAGGGCAATGGGTGAAATGGGGCATCTGGGCTCAGGCTCAGAGTCTACGTGTCAGGCTCTGAACCTTGGTGAACACACGAAAGTAATTCCGACCTGTGGGGTCTTGTCATTCACTCGTTGTTTCACTCAACCAACATTTCCTGCACTGTGTGCTGAGCACACACTGAGAACCCTCTTGGAGATAAACACTCAGTCTCTCCTTGCCATGTACATTCCCATTTGAATGTTATGAAGACTCCACGTAGAACCAAAGGTCTCAGTTCTCAACCATGATCATACATCAGAATCACCTATTGGGTTTTTAAAATACAGATGATACCAAGTTTGGGTGAGAGATTTTCACATATTGAGGTATATGGGGTAACTATTTGGGTTCAAAACTGATTCAGCTTGAACCAAAAAGCCTGACTTATGGCATATCAAACATGTATTTTACATCTGCTTAACCATTAAAGAATACACTCTCAAGATAAGAATGCATACTTCCCCTCCTACCCTCTGTTGGTAACGTCCTATTTGTAACACCTGGATTAGTCCCTGTCTCGACATCATGGTCACTTTGACCTGCTAATTTGCAATGGAATACCTCTTTGAAATTTTGATACAAATGCATCCTGGGTGTGTTTAATGTATGTTCTTTGTTCTAAAAAGATATAGGACTGTACTGAAAAACATGTTTCTCCAGAACGCTTTCTAAGGCCTTCCCGGGATATAATCCTCACTCTGGCTCAAGTAAACTCACCTTGTTTCTCTTGCATATAGAATGGTTATTGGTTATTTTGCATTGACCTGGGGATAGGGTCCGAGTTTCTGTTCTTAAAAGTTCTCCAGTTGATCTGATGAACAGCCAGGGTTGTGACCTGGGTCATGGGAAGACTCCATATGAATCAATTAGACCAAAATTTTCACTTTGCCTGTACTGTGCAGACAGATCCAGAGATATCTGGGATTATTTCAATAAAGATTCTTAAGGCATCAATTCAACACAACAGAAAGTGAAAATGAGCATAAATACTTTAACGAGTTTCTAAGATGATAAGCTTCCTGTTGGCATATATTTGACTTTATCTTTTCAAAACACTGCTCTGTTCATGTCACTACTCTCCTCAAAAACTTTAGTAGCTTGGGCCGGCTCCGTGGCTTAGCGGTTAAGTGCGCGCGCTCTGATGCTGGCGGCCCGGGTTCGGATCCCGGGCGCGCCCCGAGGCACCACTTCTCCGTCCAACCCGGGGCCGAGTCCCACGTACAGCAACTAGAAGGATGCGGACCTATGACGTACAACTATCTACTGGGGCTTTGGGGGGAAAAAAATGAATAAATAAAATCTTTAAAAAAAAAAAAAAAAAAAACTTTAGTAGCTAATATTTTTTCTTATAAGTGTTACAGAGAATCTGATGATCCAGAAAAAGAGACATCTTCCAAAAGATATTCACTGTTCCAGAAGATAATAACTTCTTGACATATCAGCTTTTTGTCTTCCTTTATGCCGACATAAACACATGCTTATATATATTTATAATACAGGATAATACTATACATACCATCCAATAATTCATTTAATATTTCAGGTACAATTTCCCACTTAAATGTATACAGATGTAATTTACCCTTCTTATTACATCTATAGTATTCCATCATGTGGATAGACTATACTTTATTGAACCCGTATATAGCTGTTAAGACTGTGGGTTTTAGAATCTGACTCCAAAATTTCATCCCAGCTCTGCCACTTTTTAGTTCTTTGACCTGGAGCAAGTTCATTACCTTATCAGTGTTGCAGTGTCCTAGGAATAATAATGGTATTTGCATAATAGGATTTGCAGTTTATACTTGGAGGCCTCAATTGCCACGTTTTTTTGAAACTACAACCCAGATTAAATGCTCCCTGACTCACAACCTTTTGAAGTACTATGAAGATAAATAGAGCACAGAAGAAGGAGGATGGCACCTGGAGCAGTTTGCAGCTTTAAGTAGGGAAGTCAGGGTAGACCTTACTGAGAAGATAACATTTGTACAAATGCCTGAAGGACATCAGGAAATGAGACATGCAGATACAAGGAGGAAGAGAATTTTAGGCAGAGCAAAGGCCCTGAGGCAGGAGCATGCACGCTGTATTGAAGGAAAGGCAAAAAGCCCAGGGTCTTAGAGTGAACTGAGGGAGGAGGGGAGCACGAGAGATAAGGTCAGATGGTACAGGGCCTTGCAGATAAAGTGGACCCACGGGGGAGTTCTGAGCTAAGGAGCAATGTGATGCAGCTTAAGTTTTGAAAAGATCACTCTGGATGACATTTTGAAGACAGGCATTAAGAGGTAGGAGAAAAGTAGGGAGACTGATGCTACTACAATAATCCAAGTGAGAAATTATGGTCCTGTTGGACCAGGGAGACGGTGGGAGGTATTTTGTTATGAATATATATGTTTATATGTAAATAAATATATATGTAAATAAATATTTGACTATATATACTGAATGAAAAGATAGCAGTATTTCCTGACATAGTGTGGAGTATGAGAAAAAGAATGAAGTCAAAGATGACAAGGTTTTGTGGTACAAGAACAAATGGAAGATTGAAGTGACATTTTTTGGGATGGGAAACTGTACGGGCAGCATGTTTGGGGAGTTTGAATTTAGACATGTGAAGCTGGAGATGCCTGTTATACTCCAAGTGGAGATGGCAGGTAAACAGTTGGATATTTATAATGTGGAGTCCAGGAAAGGAACTGCATCTGTAAGTCCCTTTTGCCACGTTAGGTCATACGGTCACAGATTCCAGCAATTAGTGCACGGCCATAACATCAGATGAGAATGAGTGTAGATAGTGAAGACAGCTGGTCTGGGTGGTTTCGTTATGAAATCTGGGATATTCCAAATCTTAGAGGTTGGAGAGGTGGGAAAGAAACTGATAAAGGAAACTAAGGAACAACAACTGAGTAGGAGGGAAGGAAAGGTGAGTGGGGAATGCAAGGTGAAGACAGTGTTTCAAGGGAGTATAGGTCCATTGCTGCTGAGAGTTCACTGGAAATGAGGACTGAGAATTGACCACTGGATTCAACAACATGGCATTTCCTGATGACGTGGACAAGAGCAGATTCAATGGAGTGATGGGGGCAATGCAGGAGAAGAGAAAATTCTAGAGAAAGATGTTTCTTCAAGTAAGGTATAAAAATGGTCAATATGCACATGAAAGATGTTCAACATCATTAATCATTAAGGAAATAAAATTCATAACCACAACAGATACATCTAGACCCGCATTAGAATGGCTACAATCAAAAAATAATAACGGGGCTGGCCCCGTGGCCGAGTGGTTAAAGTTCAGCACGCTCCACTTCAGCGGCTCAGGTTCGTGGGTTTGGATCCCAGGCGCAGACCTACACCACTCATCAGCCATGCTATGGTGGTGTCCCACATACAAAGTAGAGGAAGATTGGCACAGATGTTAGCTCAGGGTTAATCTTCCTCAAGTAAAAAAAGAGGAAGATTGGCAACAGATGTTAGCCTGGGGCGAATCCTCCTCAGCAAAAAAATTAAAATAAAAAATACTAAAAGTTGGAGAGGATGTGGAGAAATCCTCATACATTGCTGGCAGAAATGTAAAATTTTTGCAAGTGGAAGATAGGAATAAAAGATAAGAGGAGGATGGAATACAAGAAGTGTTATGGGGGATAACCCAATAGAAGATGGTAACTGGTTGTGTGTCTGGGATGAGGGAGAAGGCAAAATGGGTGAAATTATGATCTTTGTCCACCCAAATCATGCCTACATCACTTAAACTCAGGAGAACTTGGGTGAGGTACTTAACATCTCTGGATTTTATTTTTCCATCTGTGCAAAGGGGATTTCTGTCTCATAGAATGGTTGAAGGCTTAAATGAGAAACTTATAAAAGTTATTGAATGAAGTTATGAATAATAATGCAAACAGGAGCTGCTTTGAGGATGGAGATGCTGAAATCCACAGCACACCTTGTATGAGAGGAAAGAACTCCCACAAGAATCAAGAGAGAGAAGCATCTTTTCATCTCCTCTGAGCCAGAGTGCAAGGTCTCTCATTCCACGTCTCCTGCCTACCAAGGCCCCCTTGTTGACTTAAGGAACAATTTCTCTTTCAACCATCAACTCTCCAACTATCATCTAGATGAGCTCACCCCGAGTTGGGGCACCTGAGTCAGAAGACAAGGATCCTTGAGAGGAAAGAATGGAGGATATTCCCATCAAAATATTCCAGGATGCCAAGTTCTTCAGTGACCATATGGTAAAGGGTAAGATGTGAATGCTGGAATCTTCCTGTGTTGGATTTAAGGCATTGCTCTGCCATGAACTAGTTTTGGGCATTGGTTACTTGTCCTGCAATATGGGGATAATAAGACGTACCCTAGAGAGTTTTTGAAAGAATTAGAAGAAATAATATTTGTAAAATGCCTAGGACAAAAAAGCTAGCCCTGGTGGTCTAGTTCTCCACTGTGGCCTGGATTTGTTTTCGGGTCAAGGAACCACTCCATTCATCTGTCGGTTGTCATACTGTGGTGGCTGCATGTTGCTGTGATGGTGAAAGCTATGTCACTGGTATTTCACATATCAGCAAGGTCACCCACGGTGGGCAAGGGTCAGCGGGTCTTCCAGTCTAAGA